TTTTTTTAGAATTTTCTTTCCAGGAAAAACTCATTTATCTGATGAACAAATAAAACATGGAGGGAAAGGCAGCACAACCTCTTTTTGTTCTACTCTCTGATTAAGAACATAGTATAGTTGAAAAATGTTATATCTTAAAATGAAAGTTCAAGGTAATTTTACTTTTAAAGACATATAAAGTGCTTGGAGTTTTCCTGGCTTTAATACACTTTTATAAAGAGTTCATGCCCACCAAATCTTGGAAGATGGAAGGAGTGGGAGCTTGCCTCCCTGTGGCTATTTGCTGTGGTTGGATGCTACCAGGTGTGTTATCTAGGAGAGCTGTGAGGGGCTGACATGCAGACATGTTCATATTCTATAATTTAACTTCTCCTAAAGGTGTGATTAATGGGAACTCTTTATTCTGAGACTTAATTAAACTTCTGTATGCAGGCAGTGAGTTTAAACGGAGCCTTTATCTCCAACAGTCAAGAAGAAATCTTTAATCAAGAGATTAAAGTGGTGTTTGTAAATACAACAGAGGTTCTACATGCAAAAAGTCATTTTTTGCAGCACATTTTAAAGGAAGCAGAAATTATTGGGTCATGTACAGAGTTTTTTTTTTTTTACTGTATTTTAACTCTTATATTTGCCTTTTGTTCAGAAGGAGCCCCAAGCACTGCACAAGTTTTGGAATGAAATCATCTTTAAGGTTTCTTCCAACCCAACCCACTCTATGAAAAAAAAAAAAAAAAAAAAAAAACAAACCCAAGAAGATGATTTTTATGCTGCTGAAAGTGTATTTTTCTCAGTAAGTGAGCGAGCAGCAGTTTTCCCTTGGGCACAAGCAGCTGGAGGAACTGGGGTGCAATGACCTAAAGCAGAAATGGCCAGGGCAGAGCAGGGGGGAGCCCATTCTCTTGGCATGAGACCAGCTTGGCTGATGGCATTTGTGTCTCACCTGGCAGGAAACATCTCTGAGAGCTTGGAGTGAGCATCCCTTCAGCCAAAATGGATAAATGGAGAGGAGGTGCCCCCTGCTGCCACCACAGCCCTGCAGCCTCTGCTCCCAGGCAGATCTAAGCCCTTACAAAAATACTCTTTCTTTACGATCAATAGAAATTAAAGCCCGATATAGAAAACAAAAACAAAACAAAATAATCCCCCAAACAAACAAACAAAGATGGAAAATTCCTGATTTAGGCTTTAAAAGATCCCATCTCCTTAATTTCTTGTGCTCTGCATTATTTTGGGTTTTCTTGTGGATTTTTTTAGGATCACAGTAGTTATTACCTTCTGTCTGGTATCAGCTCTGGGCATGTTTTATACTCTCTCCTCATTTAACAATGTGGCCATGAGTTGAAGAAGAGTATTTGCATTTCCATTCATGTTGTAGCACTGAGGTGTGGATGTTTGCCATGGGTTGCTGCTTGGCAGGGATGTGGCAGGAATTTGATCACAGAGCAGGACAGAAACATTGCTGCAGTGTGCAATTTTTGCTGATTTTTAAAAAATTTGGATCAGCGTGTTTGTATGCTGGCTGAATCCGCATTCTGCTTGGAAAGCTGGAGTAAGTGATTTGAAATTTACAGGGTAAATAGAAATTAATCAGGTAAGGCTAAACTCTGTAATGTTTAAGCCTTTCTGTAAATAGGAAAGATGGAATCTGATAACCTTTATTTTTCTTATTTCTAGGTCCTGGGATTGCTTTTGTGGTTTATCCAGAAGCCTTAACTAGGCTGCCCCTCTCTCCCTTCTGGGCTATAATATTCTTTTTGATGCTTCTAACTCTTGGATTAGACACGATGGTAAACTGCTTTTGTGTCCCATTCTTTTCCTTTTGATTTTCCTGTTTATCTGTTTGGAGGAGCATGCAATTGATTGCCAATTCCCACGTGAGCAGTGACCCATGAAAAAAGGAACAAAGCAAGGCCATCAATGCTGGAATAATTCTGGCAGAGATCTGGTGCTGCCATCTGGGCATTGAACACCCAGGACTCCAAATACTCTGTTATAATGTTTAATATCCAGCTGGACCACTTTGTGTGCACTGGGATGAGCCCTTTTTGTTTGTTTTTCAGTTTGCCACCATCGAGACCATCGTGACCTCCGTGTCAGATGAATTCCCCAAGTATTTACGCACGCACAAGGCGCTGTTCACTCTGGGCTGCTGCGTGTCCTTCTTCATCATGGGATTTCCTATGATCACTCAGGTAACCACGCTGGCTTTGGGCACCACTGCCTGTCCCCAGCCCCCCTCTGCTGGCTGCTTTCCTCCTGCACAAGCTGAAAAATGTTCAGCTGAATTCTGCCACAAGGGACGCATGCTGCGTCTGAAAACCTTAATTATCATTATTAATATTAATATTAATATTAATATTATTAATATTAATATTAATATTAATATTAATATTAATATTAATATTAATAATAATAATATAAATGGATGCTCTGACTGAGATATTCTTAAAATACTTTGCTACTCAAATCTTTCTGAGGATCAGGCCTTTAAAATTTTCTCTAGTCAAACATCTCCAAAATAGTAATATAAATTAAATATTCAACCCACACTGGGTGGGGTTAGAATAAACCTTAGGAAGAAATTCTTCGCTGTGAGGGAGGTGAGGCCCTGGCACAGGGTGACCAGAGAATTTGTGGCTGCCCCATTCCTCAAGTGTCCAAGGCCAGGCTGGACAGGGCTTGGAGCAGCCTGGGATAGTGGGATGTGTCCTTACCCATGGCAGTAGGGATAGAATAAAATAACCTTTAAGGTTTCTTCCAACCCATTCTATGAATAAAGGAAAAAAAAACCCCAGTTTTAGATGTTATATAAATATGCACAGCTGTTTTGAGTGCCTTTCCTCTGAGATTAGACATATACTGATGGTCTTGGCAAACTGTGGAGTTAATACTGGAATTCCCATCTACTACTGATAAACCTCAGTGTCTTCTTCACTAATGCCTTCAGCATTAGATATAATTTCAAGATGAGACAGACAAAATCTTAGTATTTTATCCATCCTTTCACCCCTTTTTTCTTTCTGTTCTTCCCCCTTACCTCATCACCTACTAGCCCAACTTTGCTGTTCTAAAGCCCAGGAAGGATTCAGTCCTTTATTCACTTGAATTATGCTGCTTAACTCCATCATGGAGACAGGATATTAAATCCTTTCCAAACAGAAGGACTGGACTCATTATTATGGAAGTTCTACATCCAGTGGTGATTTTGCTTTTGTCATAGTATGATATGGTCTGAGACAATGCAGGGGGAAGGTCTGATCACAGATCAGTCCTTAATCTTAAAGCACTGAATTCAAAGTCTTCCCAAGCTGTCCTGGCTAGCAGAATCAGGTGCTAAACTGCCTTTTCCTTGTTGGATTTGGGATTCACTCAGCCAGAAGGAAGAGGCTATGGCACAGCACGAGCCCGGGTCCAGCTGATGTGTGGATGCTGCCCTGGCTCCTGCTCCTCTCTGCTCTGCCTGCCTCAGTGCCACAAGTCATCTTTTCTTTTCTTTCCTTAGGGTGGAATGTATATGTTGCAGCTTGTGGACACTTATGCAGCCTCTTACTCTCTTGTCATCATTGCCATCTTCGAGCTTGTTGGAGTTTCCTATATCTACGGTAAGAAAAACCTTGTTATTGAACAGCCTGTGTCAAAGCAGCATTTCAGAAAATGATGAAGTGAGATTCTGAAGGAAAGGGGTCATATTTCTCTGTCATAAAAGACCCAAAACACTCTTAGTTTGGACAGAAGAATGGAAGGACTTCAGGATGCCTTTAAATGCATGTGTTCAAAAGACTTTCATGCAGCCTCAAGTAATTTTCCACCAATAACTCAAAGGTATGAGTATGAGAATAGCCCAAACATTTGCTGACACTTTTCCAGGGGTGCTTTTGTGCTTCAATGATTTTAGGAACAGAGACTTCCTGAGCCAGTTTCCTATTTGTCCAGAACGGAGACTCAAGACTATGCAGCTACTCAGAATGATTAATTATCCACAGTGGTCACACCAGTGCTGCTGACCCATGTTGATGTCCATTAAATTGTGAAGAAGAGCCTCAGTTTGTATGGAGCAGTGCAAATGCCACAAAGCTGCTGTAGTTACAATTGCTGCCAGCTGCTGATGTGCTCCCAGACTTGCCCAGGTTTTTCAGGATTCCTGGAAATGTGAAGATCTTCCCACATACCATAAATAATTAATTTATGCCTGGAATGGAAGGCTGTTTCTGCTATTGCTGTGGACAGAAATGAATTATACAGTTTAATCAGCTAGGCATAAAAATCCAAGATGTTCTGCTGAAGCTGCTTGTGGAGCCACTGCCTTTGAGTTCTGGCCCTTTTCACTGAGCACTTGTATCTGCCTGTGTTGTGGAGTCCACCCTGTAACAGAAGTGCTTTAAAACATAGAACAGGTTTCAAATAATGCAGAATTTAAAATATAGTACAGATTTCAAATCATGGCGAATTTAAAATATAGTACAGCTTTCAAATCATGCAGAATTTAAAACATGGTACAGGTTTCAAATCATGCAAAATTTAAAACATACTACAGGTTTCAAATCATGCAAAATTTAAAACATACTACAGGTTTCAAATCATGCAGAATTTAAAACATGGTACAGGTTTCAAATCATGCAGAATTTGGTGCTCTTGCTTGAGAAATAAATGTTATAGACAGGACAGGGAATCAGCCCTTCCTTGTTTTCTCTGATTTAATGGAAATTCAGCATTTTAACCTCCACTGACATCCAATGCAGTGAGTATTCCTGAGAGATTGGTGGCTAAGCCACACATGACCTAGTGAGGAAATGTTACAAAATATTATGGAAATACTCAAAATACTGAGAGAAAAGTTGATTTAGGCCAGTCATGTTTTGGTTGAACAGAATTCTTCACTTTGTTTATGTCCCTGGAACATAAGTAATTCAATTAGAGTTGGTTTAGAGGCGAAATGAAACCCAGCTTCTCTAAAAGCAATACAATTTCATAGGCAGTGATGAGTGGGGAGGTTTAAAAAAAAATTAAGGTTTGCTGGAGATTTTTTTGCCTTTCTTCTCCTCCCCACTTTGCTGATATGCTGTGCTAGATTTTTCACTCTTCATGGTCACCAGCATCAACAGCATCACCTGGTCTGTGCCATATATTCCCCCTTTAAAGCCATTGCTATTAGTATGAAAGAGAAAAATTCTGTGTTTAAAATATTTTTACTGTTTCAAAACCTGCTTAAATCTGTAAAATTTCTTTGCTCTGCATGATTTTAAGTGAGGATGAAGGTAAATAGGGAGCAAGAACTGGCTCTGTTCCTCCTCTGAACACTGTGTGGCAGAAGCACTGCAAATCAGCCTTTATGGAATGACATTTTATTAGGTTTGGAAGAAAAAACTGCTCTGGCCAGTGTTTGTTTTGCCCAGCAATTCCAGTATCCCTTAAAACATTAACATTTATGAAAAACATCAAATAATGCAATAATAATAATAATAATAATAAGGGCCTGAATAGAGGAGAAGGTTTTTTTTTAGTGAGTTATTACTTCAGTGTAATCAGATGTAGAAAAGGTTTGACAAGTTACCAATTATTCTTTTTATGCTTTCTCTACAACTGATTGTTCATCAAGAGGTTTTGGTAAAACCTTGGCTGCAATCTATTTCAAAGGCATGAACCCTTTGCTAGACTCAGGGGCTTCCTTTCAGTTAAATAAAAGGGAAAGACATTAAGATCATTACCTGACTGACTAATGTGCCAGAGCTGCTTTTACTGTGCTAAAGCTGCTTTTGTAAGGACTGGGCACAGAAATACATCATGTGCATTTGTGATTTGTGTGTGGTGAATGCAACCAAAGCTGCTGCTTGGGTTATATTCCTTCAGGCAGTGCTTAAAATTGGCATCATATATTTTCAAGGTCTGACAGCTGCTGTTTTACACTCCACTGACACCTTTCTCTGGGCACTTGTACTCCTCATGGCAAGCAGGTTGGCACAACAGTGGCAGGTGCTTTTATGATGAAATAAATTTGTCTTTAGTTCTTGCTACATGTTCTGCTTGCTGAGCTTGCTGAGATTTTTAAATTACAAAGAGACACACATGGTTATTTCCTTGTAATCTCTTATTTTTCAGTAGAGTCAGTGCTTCATAATCCAATCAAATGCATGTTTTTATTTCACATGCTGGTTTACATGTTTATTCTCCAATTGTTTGGATTATGATGAATGATTAGTAAAGAACAGCTTAGAGGTAGGGATATTAATTTAATCACCAGCATAATTCCCACTGTTGCACTTTGTAGCATGAAGCTAAGGACAGAAATCCCTGTGTTTGAGTGAAACACTGCTGGAAACTGAAAATACATGATGGAAGCTTTGTTCATGCTCCATCCAGACAGTTTGTTTTTGGGAAGGTTTGTTGTCAGAGTGAGTGGAAACTGCGGCTGTGTATTTGTAGAAAACTTTAGTAATTTTGAACACTTTACCTGTAGCAGAATAGTGGATTAGTTGTCTGGCTAGGTTTGCAGTCTCTTTTAAAATGGATTTTATATGTCAGCACTTATGAATACATCATTCTATTTTAGAGACAGAAAAATCAGATATGGAATAGCATGTGCTGTTTATTTCCCAAAGTTATTCAGCAGGCCTGACTGATCTGAGAGGGAGACCAGATTTACTAAGATCTGGGGAAAAAAACTGGTATTCTGTTAACTAAAATATCCTTTGCATTTTTAGTGTTGAACTTCCACTGGAAAGAAATAAGTAATGTGTAATAAGTAATGTGTAATCCCTCTGCCCGTTATATACATTTGATTCCTGAATTGCTAATATTTAAGAGTGCCTGACACTGTGAATATATACTTAAAATTCCTAAAATGAATTTCTTATTTTATTTTATTTTTTTAGTTGGAATTTCAAACAAATCTGTGCAGTTTTTCATGAAGCTAGCATGAATTTTGGAGGCAGGAACCCCCTGGTAATTATCCAGTTAGGTATCCATTCTTTGCAGCAACAAGTGTGGCTGAAGTAGACACTTTAAATGAGATTTAAACTCTGTGGAAATACCCATCAGCCTGTACCCTGTGCTGCAGCAATTAGTTTAGACCAGCTTTGATCCCAGCACAGGGTGAGCAGTTCCCTCACACTCACTGCAGGTGCTGCACAGGTAAATAAAACACAGGGACAAATCTTTCCTTTGCAGCAAGAATCTCCTTTCAGCTCCATCACACGCAGACCTTGGAGGTTACATTTTGTCCAGGCATACAAACTTCTATTACAGAGTAGAGAAGGACCCAATTAGAGTGGAGCTGAAGCACAACGATTCCCTGGGTCATAAAAATTCCATGTATTTTACACAGAAGAGGCTTTCTGAAGAAGAAAACTTGTGCTAGTCAGTAAAACAGAAAAAGAGGGAAAGAAATTACACAAGGAGAAAAGTGACCTCTGAGTTACCTTGGCTCTGTTTTCTGAGATTACATCCACTGCAGATTTTAATTTTTTCGCTTTCCTTAAATACAGTCCTTGTAGTACCATTTTCCTGTTGGATTTCTTTATTTTTCTTCTCTGTCCCTTATCATACCATGGTTCTTTAGCTTTTCCATCAGCCAGCCCTGCTGCTTTCTTCTGCATCAGAGGGCTCTGGATGATGGACCAATGCCAGGGTTTGTTTTACCTTCTTAATTCTTACAGCAGTCAGGTGAATAGATTTATTTCTCCTTGATATCAACAGAAAGGCTCCCAAACGAGGTGGATCAAGCCTGGGATTGTCCCTTCTTACACTCAGCAGCTGCAGCAACTGTTATACAAGAAGAAATAAAGTAATTTATTACTTTTGTTGCAAGCATTTCTTCCCTTACTCAATTCCTTTTCTATTATTAAGTTATTTCTATTATTAAGTTATTAAGTATTTAAGCTTTCCCCACATCATGCAAGTTAGACAAAACACTGCAGAATAATGCTCTGCAAAATTCAAGTAAAATTGGCCCAAATTTTTAACATTTATATCCTAGATGAGCTCTGACCTCTCTCTTCTTATTACAATTGGGAAAGCTGGAATCAATTTTAGGTGTCTTTTTAAAAGTTTTGGGTAAATTACTAATAATGAAATTGCTAATGACTAATTTACTAATAACCACCAGGGAACAGCAGCTGCTGACCAACACATGCTGACCTTTTGCTGTCACATAGCATGGCCAGGGAGGAGCCGCAGAGTGGCTGAAATGCATTTTTTTAAACTCACCTTATGAAGAACTCGCATAGCAGCTGATCTTTTTGTCCAGACAACATTGAATATAATTCAGGATATTTGCAGATGCTCTCTAGGAGTTTTAACTATCAGTGCTGAGGGGTACAGCTGCAATCCTGTCATGTAGCAGGTATAGAGAAGCTGAAATGTTGTCTGTGCTGAAGCAGATACACCAATATTAATAAAGCTGATCTGCACAGGGGAACAAAACAGACAAATAATTGCAGCTACCTAGTGCATATTAGTAATGCTTTAACACAAAACAGACTAAACACCTAATCTCAATGGAAAAGCTCAATTGCTTTAATCCTTAAGAAGGAAATATTTTGTTGGAATGGTTCCCACCCTATTAGTTTATTATTCTGTAGTTAGATCCTCCAAGGAAGCTTTCAACCAAAAATTTGGAGTTTGTTTTCACAGTTAGACACAAAGGAGGGCACCAGAGCTCTGTTGCAGACTGCAGCTGGTTTCTTTCACACCTAACTGCTCTTCCATTTGCTCTTTACAGGATTGCAAAGGTTTTGTGAAGATATAGAAATGATGATTGGATTCCAGCCAAGTAAATTCTGGAGAGTCTGCTGGGCATTTGTGACCCCAACTATTTTAACAGTAAGGAAGAAAAAAAAAATTAACATCTTCTCCAAAGAGTTTTGTTGTTGTTTGTGCATTATTCATTATTCATGATGTTTCTGGGTGTTGGTAGCTAGAACTTGGATGACAGCACATGTGTTCTTGCCATGTGTGTGCAGCAGAAACAGTGTAAGCAGTGGTGGTTTTGGTGGAGAGGCATGGTGAGCCCACCTGGAAAATGGGTGGCCTTTTCCTGGCTGTGCAAAACGCTGCTGTGGCACACCACTGTACTTATATACAGTAGATTATTTTATATAAATCCATATATATTTGTGTGTGTGTGTGTGATATTTATGGATGCACAGGGAGAAGGCAACATCCTCCTGTGTGCTGATGGACTGAGCTAGGGGAAAAAAAAAAAAAAAGTTATTTTATTGCCACAGCAGCTGGTGTGAGAAGGATGCTCTGGAAGGGCTGAGGTGGCAGAGGAGGAGCGGGACTGTCCCGGCCCAGGTCCCGGGAGGTGGCGCTGCGAGACAGCGGCTGCAGCCCTGGAGGGAGCCCTGGAACCCAAAACCAGAGGAGTTTGGGCTGTTCTTGCTGTCCTTCCTATTTTCCTCTAATTCTTATTTCCTCCCAAGCACCTTCCTTCAGAATTCAGTCAGCGTTTGCTTCATGTTCAGGTGTCCATTTCATAAAAAAAAAAAGAGTCACGTTCTCAATTTCACCATTACTGTGAGAGTTTTTTCAAGTCCAGGGGACCAAATCCAATAACTGTATCTACATTTGCCATCTAGGTTTCTAACACAGTGCTTCCTTTAGGTTTTAACCTATGTGCAGATACAATCTGCAATGACTTTTTTTTTTTTTGACACAAGAATGAAATAATTATTTCAGCCATTTCAAAACCTTTCAGCTTGACAAATCAGCACCAAAACACCCAGAGTCTTCTTTCACCAGTATTTTCTGTTTGAGTGCATGTGCATCCACTTGGAAGTTCAGCAAGATTCTATATCCATGCAGGGTTTTAAATACTGACAATTTCACAGGAATGAAGTAGTTCCTACAAGTCACACAATCGATCACAGAATGGTTGGGGTGGGAAAGGATCTCAAAGCTGATCTCCCTCCACCCCCCTGCCATGGGCAGGGACACCTTCCACTGTCCCAGGTTTTTCAGGACCCCCTCCAACCTGGCCTTGGGCACTGCCAGGGATGGGGCAGCCACACCACAGCTGCTCTGGGTGAGTGTTCTTAGCTGTTGAGGTGCAAGATAAAAGTTTCTGGAGTTTCTGAAAAGAGAGATTTTGGAAGAGTGTGAGATCAGCTGGCAGGAGGAGAAGCAAAGCAGGGACTCTCCAGTCCTTTGCTCCTGCCAGAGAAGTTGTGTTTCAGCTCACGTGCTGGGCAGTTTCTGTGTGTGCAGTTCTTTAGTGCAGTGTGAGCTTGGAAAACCTTTTCCTTCCTGGAGGAGGAACAAAAAGGCACTGGCTGAAGTTAACAACTTATTTTCAGTGTTGTCAATTCACAGAGGACATTTTTTCCTGCAAATTGGAGAAGGTTTAGTTTTCACAGACATCAATGCCTATGTGAGGGGACCAGTGAGTTTTGGTGAGCTCAACAAAATCTTGAGTTGCGAAGAAATGAAATTTTCTACAACGAGAATGATTTCTCCAATGGGTAAAATGAAAGTAGTCTATTTTCTTGCATAGATTTTCTTTACCTGCTGTCTTCACTGCACTGCAGTATTGCTCTGTGTGAAAACCAGCTAGCTCTATCTTAACCACCTGTTATTTGATTGTGACAATGTATGCCTATAGTTTGCAGATCACTTTTAAAAAGTTTGAAGACTTACTCCAGTTTATAGTGTTAGGATTACACCAATGGTATTTGTCTTCTCTCGGGGATCTTTTTAAAGATGAAGTCATGTACACATGGTATTTTTTTAGCTCTTTGTTTTTTTCCAATGGTTATTTTCAAGATGCTGCCTTAGACCCTATTTTACACTTCTGAAGGGAATTGTAAGGCTTTTCTGCAAATTGCTCAGATCCTTTACTAATCAGACTTGTTTGTGCTCATAGCTCCTGTCAGTAATCACAAGCAGGAAATAGGAAATTATGTTGTTTGTTAAGGAAAACAAATTTGAACTGACCGTGTTTACTCTCTAAACTTGCATGTTCTGTTGTTATTCCCTCCAAATGCAATATTTAGTGAACTTACAGTGAGAAGTAAATTTACACTGATCAGTCATAATTCAATTTTTATGCAATGGAAACAGACAAAGCAAAACCAAGCAATGAATTATTTTGTATTATTGCCTCTGTAAAGCTAATATTTGATACATTTGGATAGCCTAATATTAGACTTTCATTAGACTCCACATCTCTGGAACTAAAGCTGATAATTTTTATATGTGCCTTCACCTAGTTATACTTCTATAAATCTTCTGTGTGCAATTATTGCAAGCAGAGGCATTTTCCAAAAGGTACTGAATTATGCACAAATGTAAGCAGATATATTGCTGTTCATACAGTAAGTGCAACGGAGAACTTACCATAATCACATTAGGTAAAACTCCCAATAGACCATGTAATAAACCATGTTACACTAGGGGCAAGATTCTAATTTCAATTATTCTGGCACAAATATAGTGATTTTTGAGGGATTTTGCAAGATTTCATTGAAACTCATTAGATTCAGGCTCTGACCCATTTATTAGAGCTTGTGGCAGCACCCTGCCTTAGGTGTGTGTGCTTTTATCTGTATTCCAAATACACCAGCTCAGTGTGTGGATACCCAGCATTTGTGGCATAGCAGGCTTGTTTTCCTTACTCAAACATATTTGTTTTCCTTTCTTGTTCCCAGTTTATTCTCTGCTTCAGTTTTTACCAGTGGGAGCCCATGACTTACGGAGCTTACCACTACCCAGGCTGGTCCATGGTGCTGGGGTGGCTGATGCTGGCCTGCTCAGTCATCTGGATCCCAGTTATGTTCGTGATAAAAATGCACCTAGCCCCAGGAAGATTTATTGAGGTAATTCCTCTGTCTTTTTGCTGTTTAAAAATATGGCCGCAGGGGACTGTATCTTTCATTTTACATTGATTTTTGTGATATTGAATGTTTAATACTGCTCAGATTGCTTTCTGGTAAACCAGTTATTGTGTTGTGAAGAGATGCTCAGTTGATTTAAATTGTAGACCTTCTATTCCTAGTTTTTCAAAAAGCATGGTCCTGAGTCGTGGAGTTGTTTGTTTTATGAGATCTAGATAAATTCCATGAGGTTTTGTATGGCTTTATTGGAAGAAAGGTGTTCTAGATCCATTGAGGTTTTTGCAAAAGCAGCACGTGGCCGCAGGAAGCCTCAGCCCCTGGTGTGTGTCGTGCCCACAGTCAGCACTGGGAGAGCTCAGTCAGGAGCTGCCATCAGCACTGGCAGAGCCCAGGAGCTGCCTGTGTGCCCAGCTGGGTGCTGGGCTCACCCAGGATTGCTCCACGAGGCTGTGCCACTCGCTGAAGTCCAGGAATGAGATGTAGAGCAGGAAGGCTTTTCATGCATCTCAAGCTACTGGTTATAAAACCCAGCTGGCAATCTTTGCTTTCACCTTTCATCTCCTTATTCCTCTTGAATTAGCTGATCCTTTCTGGCACCTGGGCTTACAATAATTCCAAGTGACAGTTTATTTTTAATTTAAGGTTCTTTCGTTTATTTTGCTAATTGGATTCCTGAC